TGCAGAAAAAAATAGAAAAAAAAAAATCAAACACATTAGGAGGGATAAGTGAAAGTGGACATTGACTGTTAATGTTGATCTATTCAGTTAAATACAACATTAGGAGAAAAATATGTTGAATATTGAAATTTAATTAGTCTAAATATTATGAACTAAATAATTTTTTTYTCTTATTTTTCTTGCGAAAAAATGTTAATAACTCTGAGTAAGTACTAAACTTAGAATTAATTGTTAAAATAGTTATATTACCAGTCTGTTAAGTATTATATAAGATTTAAGTCACTAATGTAACTTGGTACCTACTAAAATTTCAAACAAGACTTTGTTTCATGAGGTACCTAAACAGTTTTCAAAGATAAATTTGTATCATTTAAAATTCTTTGAAACATACGTAATTAGTTTAAAATCTAATGAATTTTTTTAATGTAATATGTAAGACTAGTATTTGACCACATTGCATCGAACAAACTGCCTGTAAATAATCTAGGTAAGAACATTTTTTTATTTATATATTTATTATATAAGTGAAACTTATGTTGAGGTTTATTCATTATTGGTAAGGCTGCGATTTCGATGCACTTAGCATTCTTTTCCAAATCTGGCTACTGGATGCTTGTTTTATAATATACATGTTTAATGTATTATTGAATCAGAATAAAGAGTTTCTATTTTGCTTTTTTTTTCATTTTTTGATGGTTTTAAGTTTTAAAATCATTTTCAATCAATTAAATTTTTAAAGCATTTTAGGATTCTTGTGGTATTTTTGAAGTGTTTGAATTAAACATTTTATTTGATGTTTTTTACATGATTTTATATAAATTCAACAAACTTTTCAACATTCAGTTAAACTATAAGTATATAAAGGTAAATAAATATAAAATTTAAACCTATTAAAAAAAAAATGATGTATAGAAATAATTGTTTTTCCAGATTAACAAAGCCCAAAACAATCAGTTCTATCTGTAAAACTTTTTTATAATCCTTTAAAATGTGTATCGTCTTATACATCAAATTTATATTAGAGTTTATTTCGAATTCATCAAAAATTAAAAAAATGTATGCATTTTTTTAGTGCGTTATTCAGAATTTTATACCATTAAAATCCCAGATTTATTCATGAGTAAGGTTAAGAATTTAGCTATAGCTATGCCATTTTATGATGTCTAACTTTTCCATACAATTTTGTATCAAGCACTTTCTTAATGTCAATTCTCCTTTTACTAATAAATATTTATTTCGTATTTTTTTTATTTATTTTTATTTTCAATACTTAGATTATATAGGATATCATTTGTTCATAATTTGTTAGTACTTACATACAAAACTTACATTTTTAGAAAACAAATTAAAAAACACAATATAATATTGAYGTTCCTTTTATACATTAAATTAAAATAATATGTGTAGTACATGTCACCATATTTTTATAAATAAATTAAATTTTAAGTTATAGTTTCTATTTTATAAATAAAATGATGGTTCATTTAGGCAGATTCATTAAATTTTAGCTCAAACTCGTAATGTATTCAAAAGATACTATGTAAGCTTATTTTGATTTTGTAGTGTATGAACTATTATTATTTGATTCTTGTTCGTTTAATAATAATTGGGATTTTTTAATTTTAATTTTAATAATTATTAAATTTCTAGTGTAAAAATTATACACATTTGAATTGATGCATCATTTATAAATGAGAATAAGAATATAATTTTGATGTTTTTAATTGAAATTTGGTGAACATTGTGATTCTAGTACATTGTTATATCATGTATGTTAAAAAACTAAATTTAATTAAACTGTATATAAGATATTTCATAAAAACCTATTTAAATTAAAATCGTTCTGGTAGAACATATTAAATATACATTTATAATATCTATACAAATTTGACCAGTTGTTCCGTCCATCCTAATCAATTTTWAAAAAATATATTTCTAAACAACTATAACTTTTATTGAAAACGGTCCAGTAGTTTTTGAGTCTATTAATTTTGAATAAACCAACATACATACATTTTTAGCTGCATATCCAACTTCGCTCTAGAAAAATAAATAAATATTAAATGTTCCACTGTATAGAATTACCTTGATTTTTGTATACCTCACTGGTTAATTGACATCAGTGTACCTCGTTTTGTGAATTAATTTGACCCAGACAATTCACCAGTGAAAGATTTGATATAGCACATACTATAATACTAACATGGTTCAAACTTCTAAAATTTTTTATYATGTACATCAGTGCCGTATCTAGGCATTGGCAAGGTGAACGGTGGCCAAGGACGCAGTTTTTATATCATATATAAATACTAAAAATTAATTTTAAATTTATAACATTGGTCGCCAAGGGTGCACATATAGTTATGGCACTGTGTACATATGTGTAAGAGAAATTAGAAATTTTAATTATAAATTTTCAAATTGGTTAAGTAGTTTTTGAGTATCTAAGTAAACAAACATATATTCAATTCTTATATTTATTTGATGCACCTCATCTTCCCGAAGAACTAATGTTAACCATTTATAAACTAAGATAAATTTTTGATTTTCATTATGATTCTCAAAATTCTTGTTTGAGCCCTTCTGAAATGTGAATATCTTAAAATCTATTCATTAGCAGTGATCTGTTTTGATATTGATCTTCAGTATTTAAAGTTTGGCACATTCTCAAGCTTATGATCTACCTCCATTAATTCTGATTGGTGTTCTGTACTTCTTCATACTATGTTTTGTTATCATTGATCTTAAAATCAACTAGATTTTCAATACTTATTTGTTGTTTACGGTGTTATTTCACAGTTACCTACCAAGTTATTAAGTAGTAAGGCTATATTATCAGCGTATGCCACTATACCTATTGTAGTATTGTCAAATTACTTAATGTGGCTACTTTGACCACTTATAATGCTTTACTTATAATGCTCTTATTACTTTCTAAAGGAATAAATTTCAAAAAATGTTCTTATTTTAGCCTTGTCTTAGATATTTTTACTGTTTTCAAGACTATTTACAATTTGATTTTAATAAATGTGTTGTGACAAATTTAATCAAATTCACCAATTTTCTATCTATAGAGTTGCAAGCTTTTTCAAAATCAATAAACAAAACATAATACAATTTTTTATTGAATTTCCAGGATTTCAAAACAAATTAGTGAATGTAGAAAATCTTACCTGTTGTTGACCTAATAGCCCAAAAGCATCCCTGATATTCTTCTAGATTCTAGAACATCCTTTRATATTGGTTTTGTTCTGTCGAGTATGCAATATGCTAGCGCTTAATTTATTTTATGTGACTTACCTTTATAGTTTTTATATTCTTGATACTAATTTTTCTTATATATACTAATGAGACATTGCAGTTTTCTAGGAGTCACTTTTCTTCCCAAACCATTTCTATACCTCATAGATTTTTAAAAATTATCTTCAATATGTTTGGCTGGATTTAATCTTCTGGTGATATGTGATTTTTTTAATTTTTTTTTTGTTTTTATTTGTCATCGTTTTTTGTTTAGATGATGAGGACAGAAGTTTTCATTTATCAATTCAGTTCTTGGTAACTTCTATATTTTCCTCATTGAGTAGTTTATAATATCAAAAAGTCTTTTCATCTTTTCGTGTTCAGTTACTAGTGTTCCATCTTGTTTTGTATATCCTTGTTACATTTACATTTTCACTTTTGGTACAGTTACTTAATTCTGCTTCCAAATAAGCTTTGAGAAAATGTTTGTTTTTTGTTAGTCAGAATATTATGTGGTCCTGACACATTGAATTTAGTACTACTTTGTTTATATTTCTTAACTCCCTCCTTTGATTCAGTGCTTTTTTTGTTTTCTCATTGATTTCCACAAGACTTTCAGATACTGTCTTTTATTACTTCTTTTATAATTTTTCAGTTTCCATAAATCTAGCTGAAATTATCAGAATTCCTGATTTCTAGTCATTTTTCTAATATGCACTACCCAAGGCCAATTTATTGGTACCTGAACAACATTTCTTTTTAAGAAGTAGAGTTGTTAGCGCCAAATTGAACTCCCAGCCTGGAGGGCTAGACATCCTTAACCACTAAAGGTCATGGTGGAAAACTGCAGACCTGCAGTACACTTCTCAAGTGTATTGTCTGATAAGTACACAATTTATTCTACGTCTAATAGATTCACAATAAAAAGCAATTGATCCAATTCTTAGGACATGAGTGACATGATATACCTCAGTATTAGGTACACTTAAATATTTTGTGATATACGTATATCTAGGATATAAGTTTCACGTGCCATAAGCAGATTTCTTTTCTTTTTGTTTTAGATCTTGTTGAAGCCCATTATCTTTATTGAGTTGATGTTGTCAATTCGTGCCTCGTGGATGACTTCTGGAGGTGTACAATATCGTATTTCTTCTTTTGCTACGCTGAGTACTTGACATTGTATCCTAACAAGTTCCGAAGCGATATCATTCCTCATTTGGTAAAAATGCACTCTCAAAGGTGAATACTTCGGTTTTATGTCGCCCACTACATATCACGCATGACTAAATAGATTTATTTATCTATTTAGTCATGATATCACGGATATTGATACTCTGATTGCACAACGGCTTACATTTAATTCACGGCYACACGGCCGTATGTTCTTATCAAATCTGACTAATAACGTTTTCCTCCACACTGTACTAATTGCACCAGTGTCCAGTACATATTTTTGTGTTCCATTGGCAAGTTTAATATGCACTGAGTGGACTACTATGTTTTACCTCAATGCACCAAGGTAGTTTTTTGCACTCAGTGCAATGGTAATCGCACGACTACTCCAGAAGCTCATGTGCCTTGTCATTAGCATGATAGGTACCACAACACCCGTCACCCATTAAATATTTTATTATCTTTATATATCAGTGATAACTATAGATTTTTTGTTTCATCTACACTTGCACCAGTCCGCACTTGGACGATTATCTGTGTACTCCACCAGTATCACTTTGGTACAATTATAGTCTGGTATGATGGAAAACGCTATAAAAGTTGCGTACAGTAATATTATCATAGAACTAGCGTTTTCCACCACACCGCACTATTGCACCAAGATGGAACTAGTACAGTTCACCGATAATCGTCGTAACACGGGCTGGTGCAAATGTAGATGAAACATAAAATCTATACTTATTACTGATATAGATAAAGATAATAAAAYATTTAATGGGTATTGTAGTACTTATCATGATAAGGCGCACGAACTCCAAGAGCTTGTGCGATTATCATTGCACTGAGTGCAAAAAACTGGCGTARTGCAATTAGGTGAAACATAAAAAAGTCCACTCAGTGCGTATTAATCTTGCAGATGGAACTTAAAAATATGCACTGGTGCAGTCAGTGGAGTGTGGTGGAAAACGCTACTATACCATGTTCCTATAATTAATAATAATAGTAATAATCACAATAATTGGTAAATAAATAAATATAATTCATTAATTTTACTCTAAAATATGAAAATGTTGGTACGTTTAATCTTAAAAAAGCGAAGGACTTATAAACATTGATGATGTACATTTGTTAAAGTTGCGTCACTAATGTTCCAGTTGTTGCTAGGTTGGCTACCTTTACCATAGCTGTAGAGGGCGTGGTTGAGCGACGATTCATACAATCCCACGGTACATTAGGGTGGAAAAGTTTCTTATCAAATAAATGTTTTTACTCAATGGATACTAGCGCTTCCAGTGCCAACATGGCCTATCACTAAATGTTGGCACCAAAAACAATAATCCCAGACGGCATTTTAGTATTTACTATTTAGCCATACCACAAAATAGAAAATAATATATAGAATTTTATTCTGTATGACTGTTAATATACTACAGTATATAGCAATAGTCATACACATAAACAGCGATAAAGGATGCAGCTGCTGGTATTAGGTTGGAAAGCTATTAAATGCCAATATCAAGATTATCGTGGTAATTTAGTAGATCCGAGATCGCGCCACGGGGCAGTGAGTTTTTCATATTTTTGATAAGAAACTCTACCGCCGAAATATCAGACCTCGTCGCTTAACCATTCTATCTTAAACCGTGGTTAGACCTGACTTTTTATAAAATTTGATAAGAAAATTTGTCGTTGCGCAACCACAGTTAAGTTAGTATCTAAATCATAGAGTAATATAGAGGTGGCGTTTATTCTAAAAAGTGTATCCAAAAACGTAGACTCAAATTACAGTATAACCATTTCATACGGACTAAAATATTGTACAGATTCAAACAGTATAGGCAATCTATTCAATTATAATTTACTTACTGAACCAGAATAATTATCGCCATAATTCAAAAATCAGTTTTCTCATAATGACATTACTTATTTCTTTATATATTATATTATATTATATTATATACTAGCTGACCGTACATAAGATAGGACAGCAAATTAAATAAACATGCACCATCTCTTTTAATATGTACAACAATGTGAGGTACCATTTTACCGCTCACATTTAAAAACTCTAATGTCATATTAAAAGTTTTTAATAAATTCAGTTTATGCCAATTTATATCAACTCACGCGGTTTACCTCACGAAAATAACAAACCGAATAATATGTAATTTTATTTTAACAATAATAATAAAGTGATAAATGTAACACATAAATCAGGTTGTTATAGCAACCATTTAGCTAGGCATTTTAAACAAATTTAAATACACTTTTATTTGATTTAATTTAACAAACTTAAACTGCAATTGAAATATCAAATAAGTCACAAATCACAAATAWSAAATATGAAATAAGTAATAACATTAATAACAATTTAACAATACGAAATTCRAATTTTATTATATTCACTATCAACATAACAGCTAATGGTTATCACTTTTTGATGTAGTTTTCAGCGCAACCTAGTGAGAAAATATCGAGTTACTAGACAYATTTTATTTAGTATTGGCTTCAATTCGGTTAACAGTCGTCATAGGGGACGCCACYTCTTTATTACTCTATGATCTAAATCCTTAGAAAAATACCTATCGAGGTCGGGTATTACTGTAAACAATTGCCAAATACCGCCAACCCTATCTGACGGTCATGACCTTTAATACGTTCAATTTAAAATTTCTCGTTCACTACTACAATTTAAACTAATTTATTATTATTAGGTGACAATATTATATCGAACTCCCATCATTGTGATCCGTGAACTATCTTAAACGACTTAAACAACAACTGTTCCCACTACTACTAGCGCACCATGAGGACAACTTAATAGGTACTATTTTGTTAAAAATTATAGTAATATAATATACTAAATAGTAAATAGCCAATAACATTGTTAATTTCGTTATATTAATTAATTAAACTTCATTGTGTAATTAATTATGCGATGCACTCGATGCAGTGATTGTGAATAAACATCTACAAGTGCTAGTGAATAGTGATTCTCGGCTCTCAGCTGTTTAAGATAGTGGTTCACCAGTCATCTGAAAGCACTATCTGTTATGACTTTATGAGTCGTTGTTCAAGCGGTCTTTCTTAAATCGTATTCTCAACACTTCAATTCTATTACACCGAGATAGTGTTAACAAAATGTCTCGCATTTATAGTTGTTTTTTTTTATTGTCAATTATGTACGCTGTACAAAGTAGTGAAATTCACACTTCGATGATAGTTAACCATTCATCCGTAAATTAAATTCTGTTTTTCAAATATCATTTTTGCTCAGTGATTTGTCCACTCTCGAGATTTTGATAAGACTAATACTGGAGACATAAATGCAATAAGATTGGGATGTTTTGAGGTTTATAAGTTGTTACCCTTTTACGAAATATGAGATTTTTTACCAATCCTAGTAATCCTACTTAACATTAAGTGGTTATGATGTTACATTAATTACTATTGCATTTTGAGATTAGGACTTTTTTTTTGTTATTTCAAACCGCGAATTAAAGTACACAGAATATAAGGAACAGAAATATCCAGGCCAGATATCTTCATTGAATGCCTATCATCATGTAAAATGAGAAAAAAAAATTTTTTCATCAGTTAAAATAATTCGGGTCTGAAAGGGTTAATAAACTGATTACTGAATACAGGATAGACTCGCGGCTGCTTAGATCAGTTACACCGCCTAGCGCTAATCTAGCCCTAGTATAACATTTATGTATTATGTCATCATTTCTACATCAGAAAACCATGAACATATTCATAATACCATAGTTCATTAATTTATAACGGATATGACGGCTCTGAATATTCTGATCAAGAATTGAAAAAAAATCGTGTCACACTAGCGCCTCTATAATGTATAATTAATCTATATACATCAATGTTTATGTCTCTTGCTTTTTTAAGATTCCATGTAAAAATTATCATACTTTAGAATAAATTATAACATTATATTTATTTAGTTGTTAAGTATAGTGTAATAATATTTAATAATTATTAGTTAATAGTTATAATAACAATATGTTATAAGAGTTCTATGATAATAACTGTAGAGGACGCTAGTAGTATGTGACTTTTAGTAAGATTTGATGAAAACATTCAGCGCTGTAATTCAAATTGGCCGTTGTGCAACCTGAGTATCTATATCCGTGTTAGCGCCTTATCATCTTAGTATCTGGTCACTTCTTAGATAATAGCATTGATTATAAATACTATTTAATAGTATTTATAATCAATGATAATATACATGTATACAATATATGTATATTATCTTAGGGTCACTTTTTCAGTTATATTTTTTATTTGTTAACCTGCCTGCTGCCTCGTTTCATATCGACTATATTCATATAGGATATAGGTACTTACAGAAAATAGAAATAGAGTTTACACGGCACATTTTCGATCGAGAGAAAGCATTGTTTTTCTGTGCTCTAATGCTTAGRAAAAGAAGTCTCTGATTTTAAGAGGACGCCATATCCGCATGTGTTGACTCCGCTTACAAGTGCGTAACAAAGCAAATTTTACGTTCTGAAGATCATGTTTAGCTCCTTTAGTTTAAAAATCAGAGTGAATTGACCTCTTATAAAATTAAAGGTAAGATTATTATTTAGATGACCTCAAGTGCTTTTCATTATGTTTTGACTTTGAAGCGAGTTTATTAAGATGTACAAATAATTTACAATTTTTTTAATACCTTTTTTTTTAGAAAAGATAAAATATACCATCTGTAATTAATATATACAATGGGTAATTTTCATGGTTTCAGATTTGTACAAGGCTTGATGTCGTGATAGAAGAGGGTGCCCAGTGACACTACTTCAAACTTGGTATGACTGGTGGATATTTAGTTTAATGATGATTTTTTTTTTTTGACTAACTAATGTTAATTGTTTTTAAGTATTAAGTAGGTCACGTGACCATTTTCGTTTGAGGCTGCGGATTGAGTTATCTGGGAGTGAGAGAGAGGAGAGGGTTAGGATGATTAATAGTATTTTTATGAAATTTCTTGTAGTGGTTTGACGCTATTTTTAGGTCCTTATGAAGAATGCAATTGCTGACATACCAGGGAGAATTGGTTAAGAGTGGGATATTGATTGATTGAAAAGCTTGGAATTTATTTATGCTAGTTTTTAGAGGTTCCCCAAATTTGTATGCCAAAGGCCATTGCAGGTAGAATAACTTGTTTATATATGCGAAGTTTATTATTAAGAGGGAGGTTAGATTGCAGAAGCTGTCTGAATTTATGTAGTTTTAGATTGAGGAAAGATCTTTTTTTTTTATATGTGTTGCCCAAGTTAGTCTTTTGTCTAGGTGAAGTCCAAGGTATTTTACAGAGTTTTGTGTTTGAATTATTTTGTTATTTAGTATTATTTGTTGACTGGTTTTAAGACCAAGGGTAAATGTAATGAACGTTGATTTATTTTTGTTGATTTTTATTCTCCATTTGTGGAGCCAGTGTTGTAGAATTACTAGATATTCTTGGAGGTGATTTGTGGCAGCTTGTAGTCATTTTTTGAAAACAGAATAGCGGTATCGTTGCAAAGGTAGCTAGAGTAGAATTATTTGAGTGTGGTATGTCGGAGGTAAAAAGATTATTTAGCGTAGGAGCGAGAATGCTGCCTTCGAGAACCTCAACATAGGTTGTGTTGACTAGAGTTTTCACAGCAAACTTGGAATGATCTGTTTAAGAGAAAAGATTTTATGGTAAGAAAAACAGGTGCGGGAAGAAAACAAATTTTGTATAGCAGACCCTTATGCCAGACCCGATCAAAGGCTTCATCTATATCTAAGAATAATGCATTGCAGAAGTGTTTGTTTTCTATTCTAAGGTAGATGCAATATTATCAACGATTCGGTGTACTTGGTACAGGGCAAAATGGTTGTTTCTAAAACCAAATTGGGTATTGGGAGTTTTTTTTTTTCTCTGTTATAATTTGGTTGATTCTTTTAAGAAGAATTTTTTCAAAGATTTTTGCTAGGTAGGGAAGGAGACTAATTGGCGATATGAAGAGGGAAGATCAGGGGGTTTACCTGGCTTATGGATTAATATTTTGATTGATTTTTTCCACGTAGACTGGATATATGACAGGGGAATGATGGAGTTAAATATGTGTGATAGGTGATGGCTTTTTTTGGAAGACGTTTGATGATTCTATTAGTTATTAAATATATGGCCAGGTGATTTGTTATTGGCAAGATTTTTGATAATATATTGAATTTCAGAGGGAAAGGTATGTTTTGTAAGTAGAGACATAGGGAGCGTTTTGGATAAAGATGATTCGACGTGGGTTGAATGATCTGAATCAAGTATGTCTGGATGGGGAGTGAATCTAGATTCTAGGTCAGAGGCAAATAAATTAGCTTTTTCTAAGTTAGAAATTGCTAAAGTATTGTCAAGGTAACGTAGAGGAGAAATATTTTTTGTTTAATTGAATATTTTTGTAGCTTTCTATAAAGAATTGTTAGTTGTTGAAAAGGAATTAATATAATTTTGATAATTGTCCGAGTTAAATTTTCAAAGTGTATTTTTAAGAACAGAGGCAAGGTAATTGTAAGTTTTTTATCACTTGGTAGATGCTATCTCTATAAATACTTGTAACTCGCTTCAAAATTAAAATACAATAAAAAAACTCATAATATTTTTCAAATAATATTATTTTGTTTAAATTTTATAAGAGGTCAATTCACTATAATTTTTAAAGTTACGGAGCCAAACTTGACTTGCCTAGTGTAAAATTTGCCATGTAACGCACTTGTAACATGGAGACAAAACATATGGAAATGGGGTCCTCATTATCAAATTGAATCGATACATTAAAAGAGTTGTCGATTTTCTGGTTCCATAATTTATATATTAAATTGCATATGAGACATGACCTTTTTATATGTTATGCAATATAACAGAACAATACAACTAACAATGCTGGAATAGAACTGGATTGACAGATTGTGGTGAACCCTAGCACAAACCATAAAACTATTGTACAGATTATGTTTGCTTATTTCCTTAAGTAAATGTTTCAAAAATATTGTATATGGAGCGCTCAGTAGTTGTACATTCTTATGATGATGCACTTATGAGAGGCTAGATGGTCTATTTATTTCATGGAGTGGTGCAACTAGTATATTATTATCTTCAACTGTGGTTAAAAGATTGGTTAATTCAAGATCGATAAAAAAAATTGATTACAAATAAAATTGTTAAAATAACTTGAACATCATTACATTTTTACAGTGTATTTATTATTGTTTATGTTCCTGTTATGTTTATTTTTATGTGCATTTTTATTTTTAATTAACTGATGTTTTTCTTATTCATTTACAGAACAACATAAGCTGCTGATTTTTGTTTTATGGCTATTATGAGAAGGTCAATATTTGATAAATTTCCACATTATGTCAGTATACTAAAATGRGTCGATTTAGAATTATCTTGTCGCATCAAGAAATGAATTTTATTTAATAAAATAATAAAATATACAAAGTTGAGGATAAATAAACAAATTCAAGGAACAAAAAAGTCAAAAGTAATTTTATTATATGATTTATTTAAATAGTTCCATACTTTATATAACTATTACTAGCAGTAGATATTTGTGGTAGGAACTATCCGCCTAATATTTATATATTCAGACTATGGACTACAGTATTAGCATGTATTTTATTTTATTCAATGTTATTCTTATGGTAAATTTGTTTTTAATAATTGGCCAACAGAAGTCAATTTTTATCGATAATATCAAGTAAAAAAATGTATGACAAAATTGTAGCATTATATGTCATATAATATATAACACAACATTCTGATACTTTTTTGATAAGAAAATGTGCAGTACTTATACTGAAATACTATGGAATATTTAAATTTCATAAAAACATTTTATTAGGAGCCAGTACAGATTTTCATTTTTTTGTGAATACCCAATCTAGGGAGACTACACAACCACATATTCTGGCTTATTACTCTAATACTAGGCTTAAGCCTAATGGCTAAAAGAKCAGAAACTATGATGTCAACTATAAAAAATTATTATTATTTTTATACGCTAGGCACAACCATTGGCATGTTGAACTTTTACTTAAGGAGTGAAGATTCTTAAAACCACTTTCTGTAAACTATAMTTCCTCCAGTTAATTTTCCAGGGAAAACATTTTTGCTTCAGCCAATAAAATATCTAATTGTTGATCATTTTTAATTCTGAAAATGTTCTCAGTAAAATTATCAACCATAGTTAATGCAGTGATAAATCCAATTGTAACTATTGTGTAACAAACTTGAATGAAGAAATAGTAGACATAAAATTTGCTGCCATTGAATTGGCCATAGTTGCCAATGCTTAAGACCAATAAAAAAAATGACATTTCTATTCCTAATTTTTATTTTCTTTTATTGTTGAACTAGACTGCCATATTTTAAAAGTAGTATTGAATCATTTTATTTTATGATTATTTCATATTGTATATTATATTTACTGTTACTCATATTGTATATTCTGTTATCTATTTTTAAATTTTGTAACAATTATGTCTGAGTATTTGCGCTAAGTCATGTAGGCAACCTGGCTACTAGGAAGTTTTCTATAATAAAAGTTATTTCTCCCTCAGTTGTTAAAATATTATTTACTTATTTTTACAGCTGGATAACAATTTCTTCAAATCAATAAATGTCTTAGAAAAATAAGAAAACTAACACAGTGAAAATTATTTTTTTCACAATCAGAGTTTCAACAATATTATTCATTTCTAATTGGACAAGAATTCAAGATTTCCAGGTATAATTTATTATAATTAGTAGTAATATTGTATCATGGTACATAAAATTATATAGTATGTCATGAACAAAATAATTTTTTTCGTTGTTTCTATTAAAAATTAGAAAAACACACCTTAGAGGTTATTTTTATGTTACTAGTATTGTATTTATTCAATTAAAAGTAATTAAAAATACATTTGATCAACAAATTATAATGTAGATAGAATGTAACAGAAATAATTGTTGTTCTAATCAACATACTTAATAAATATAGATTTTAAGACAGAAAATAAAAAAAATTTAATTTTTTAGAAAAAARTATTATGAAATTATATGTTTGTAAGATGGAGAAAAAAATTGGTCATGTCCTCTTAACATAAACATACATACTTACAAATTAATTTTAAAATTTTCTGAATTTTAAATTTAAGTTAAGTAAAAAAAAAAAGGTTTTTATTATTAGAATTAAAGAATGTCTTATTAAAAGTTAAAATAAAGTTTTTTTAATGAAAACTATTTAATATGACTTATTTTTACCATAAATGTACTATAAGGCTCTAATTACAACATTAAACCAAAAATTTTAATATTGATTAAAACAAAAGTTTTTAATTTGTTAGCTTAATTTGTTATACCTATACTGTATATTAGTTCACCCCCTCAAAATGAGATTTAAACAATATATTTTTAGTGGAATATTGTAGTAAAAGCTTTTCATTTAAAATTTGGTTTATCAGAATACTGGTTTATATAAATATTTAGTTGATTTTTACTGTTTAAAATAAATACACAACAAATATTAGTTGTTTTAAAATTTTGCAGTAATAGTAATAAATTTACATAATTATGGTTTTTTTTATTTTTACATTTTTAAGAATTTGCTATGTCCGSATGCATTGTCTTTTTCTAACAAATGGGCTAAAATGCACTTTCGCAACCTCCACACAATTTAAAATTTTTTTTTTAAAATAATTTGTTTTTTATGCTTAAACGAAGGTGTAAACATTTTTACCGAAAACTATTATTCTATAAGTTATAGCCTTCAAAAATTGGCGATTTTAAGTTTAGATGCATGTGCTCAACACTAATTTATTGTCATGCGCAACGCTTACCTATGATTTTTTTTTATAATATAATATGATGTTTTTGAAGCCGGCCAGAGAAGTAACCCGTTTAGTAAGCTTAGGTAGGTTTATTCATTTAATATATTAGCCACGGGGGTGGTTAGTGGATGAGTCCGCAATTCCGCATCTAACGAGAGGTCTTGAGGACCTCAAGTATGGAAACCAGACCTGCAAATGAATCAGGTCTCCTTAGTTTTGCAGAACGAACCCACTTTATTTGGATTACTTAAACCGACAAAGTTAAATTTGCTTATTAGGTTTTTTGTCTGCTCGAAAGACAAAGCTTTTCCACCCRCGATCCTGAAGGGCCCCGCTTCCCGCTCTCAGAAGTTTGCTATTTTAGCCCCAGAGGTTTTGTGACTGGAGCTGATAGGCGAAGGGAGCCACTATAATATACTTACGTAATACTTAACAGGCAAGGTTACAATATACTCAATACTAAAAAAATATTATACGCATTGTGCATGGCAGTAGTGTTATGTGCACTGCACATGCGTGTAAATGTAAAATCGCAAACTTTGGAAGGCTATAACTTCTGAAATAATAGTTTTTGATAAATCATTTTTGCACCATCGTTTTAAGCATATAAAGCAAGTGGTTTAAAAAAAATAATTGAAAACCGTGAGGGGGTTGGTAAAGTGCATTTGTGCCAACAAATGTAAAAACATAACAAATACTGATTTGCGTGGGAAAAGAACCAAGAAGGCTACAGAAATAACTAAAAAACAAAATTTTCATAAAATAAAAAGGAGAATTTTTTCTGTAGAAAATCATTTTTATTTTTTGAAATTGGTATTACAACAAAAGTTATTATTCAAGTTTGAAAAAAAATAATGGATTTTAAAACTACAAGAACTTTTTTCGTATAAATGATATCAAAACATTTATAGTGAAGTTTTACAGATAATGTTTTCAACTATACTATATATCATATCAATTTGGAGTCCTAGCCATCACTACAGCCTTAGTGGTTCTATTCCTCGCTAAACAGTTTTTGCTACGTTGTACATTATCAGAGACAACACACACAGGTGATAGTTCTCTTAAATTTGATTATAACATTAGTCTGTTAAAAATTAAGATGATATTTTTATATTTCTACATATTAGTTCCATTGTTTTTTTTTCTTGTAATGAATATGGCATTGTCTGGAGAGTTATTTTGATTTCTATTATTCTTATAATGTGCATAATAAGTTATAGAGGATAATAATGTTTATACATGTTTTATGATATTACCTATTGTTAGGAGMAAGAGCACATATGTAGAAATTTCATTATTAGTTGAGGGGAGGTAATCAATTTGAAGCTTAATCTGGAATACCGTATAGCTTTACTTAAATTATAAAATGTAGTTAGATTTTTTCTGTACTCTTCAACCAGTTGAATTCAATCATTGGGTTGATGTCCCTATTTTTAGAACTTATTAATATACATTTAGTGTAGGTATAGTTTCATACATATTTTTAATTAACACATTTATTGGAAATAGTATTTTCTCAAATGTAAGTTATAAAAGCATCAAGACCTACTCGTCTTAATGATGATAATTTAGAGCAGCATCTTCCTATAGAGTAATTATAATGATTATTTCCCAAGTAAATTTTGAAAATTATATGCATTAACCCACTTCTACATCAACAATATAATGTTCATTTATTTTGAAATTATTTATAAATTTAATCTGAAATACTCATTTTCAAAAACTTTACACTTCAGTTTTATTGAATATCTGCACGTGTTGTTTGCTTCTTACTAATGTACAATTTGGCAAAAATTTTTATGCACCAGAATGAATTAAGAAAGTTATAGTCATAACATAGAAACAACATTTTTATACTGTAAAGCTAATAACATTTATAGTGCAAAAATTTTTTTTTAATATCACATATACAAAAAGAAAAAAACAGGAAAGTGGGTATCGCTCTGCTGTACATTAGGTGGTTGGGGTGGACCTCTGACTAGGATAGGTTAGATTTGAATGCAATGATAGGTATYATTGTATACGAAAAATGATTCTGAACGGAGATGATTTGTCAGTCTAAGATATATTATATTTAAATATTGTCATATATTCTATTTTGAAATAAATATATTATTTTTCA